CTTCCCAAAGATGTGGGGATTTTACAAAAATGGGCAAACCAAAAGGGACAAGTTTATTTTTTTAAAAAAAAGGGCCCAACCCAAAAAAACCAAGAAAAAAGGGCAGGCATGTACTTAAAGTAGTGCTGGGAGCTGTGAGTCTAGTGATTACTGTTTGGACTGGAGCCCCACACGTCACCTTTCGGGGGGGGGGAAGAAGGAGGGGAAGGGATAGCCGGAGCTAGACTGACCCTACCTTAACAAGCAGCCGGCAATCAAACTATCACTTTTGGGGTGGGGGAAAAAAGGCGGGAATAGCGGGAGCTTGACTTACCCTACCTTAACAAGTAGCCGGCAATGAAACTATTGTTACTATATACTCCCTCGCTACTCCTATCTATTGAAATTTTCCCTCACAAATACATTGCTGCAAGTCCTGTCTAGGCTAGATATTTTTAGCACGCTATTTACATCCCAGTGGTTCTGGAAGATCAACAGACTCACAGATAATAATAGAACTAAATGAAAAATATGTGGTCAGCCACATAGCAACTCTACTGAAATCTGTGTTTAATTGTCTTCTTATTGAGGAATATAAAGAGTGATTGAAGAATAATCTATATATGAAAAAGACATACCAGACACATGAACCAAATATCATAAATTTGTTAGTAAAAGGTAAGTTAATTGTAGATATAAATCCAGTTTTACTCCCCACTCAATTAGAAGGTCTTTAATTAAAGTTATTTAATATACAGTAATGTTTCTTACCTAAAACAACTGTAGTGCTTTTCTAAATAAAAGTTTTTATATCGAATTATATATTAACATATCCTGCTGAACAATGAGAGTTGCTCTGATTATTTCTTCTAAGTTACAGAAGGACTGACAATTCTCACCGAGTTTAATTCTGCGGTTTTCATCATTAACGAAGCTGTATGGTTCAGTATATTCCTCAGGGACCTGAAGAGGAGCGTGAACACTTTGGAATGGTAAGTACAGGAACATGGGATCCTCAGGATTCCTGGACGACAGTAGGTTTTCGACGTAAGAAGTGAAGAGGAACTGTGTAGGAGATCAGTGATTCTTAAAAAAAAAAAAAACACGTCGTAGCAAAAATAGAATAAGCTTATATTCTTAATTACTTTCGAAAAGAGGATCCCAAATTGCCTCGAGTAAAGACACTGAAATCATATTCAATAAGACAGGAACTATTAACTAGATGTAAACCATACCACGGGCGGGGATAGAACCAGCGACCAGAGAGTCATAAAACTCCAGACCGACGCGCTAGCCACTGGGCCAGCTGGTTACAATAACATTAACCCAACTAGGTATATTATATACCATAGGATGGTTAGCATAGGCACAACTGTGACCACAAATGCAAGTTTTTACAGACGAATCTCCCGCCAGCGTAGCCGTGACTAACTCTAGCTTAATTAAAGCCGTCATCATGACTCACACGTTTTATCCCCGCTCGTGGTATAGTTTGTTTGCAATCGTGTCATTACGATTTCGTGAGTCAGTTACTAAATGTCTCAGACATCGGTGGAATGCAATGAAAATGATATTTAAATGGATAGTAAATGGGGAGTGACAGTTATTATTAACACATCGGCCGTCTCCCACCAAGGCAGGGTGGCCCGATAAAGAAAAACTTTCATCATTCACTCCATCACTGTCTTACTAAAACCATGCTTACACTACAGTTATAAAACTGCAACAGTAACACCGTTCTTTGATATATTGGTGACACTGTCACCAATATATCAAGTGACAATTTATCATTTAAATAACTGATGAGAGTGACAGCTATCAGTAATCGCAGTAAACAACACCAGTTACCAGTCTCGTCTTATGATGCTGTGGACAACTTTCAGTGTATGAACTGCGACAGATGTATGTCACACTGAATATACACTGAGAGTTAACTTTTAACCCCACATTATGTAAAGTATTCTTGACTGACGGTGTTCGCCAGCATGCTAAAGAATATTTTAGACGGTTCAAAATTATTTAACAATTTATCAGGCTTAGTTTGATCTACGTTACATTATAAACTGAGTTAAAGGTTCAGAAAGATATTCACCGGGGAGTAGGTGCCGTTGTCTGTATCTTCAACATCTGTATTCCTCCTGAAGTCGTAACCGTAGCTCATTTTCTCTAAAACAATTATATTGTAATATTATATAATAATTAAAAAAATATATACGCTTTAATCATCCTAATTACAGTGTACTTTAATGTTTAACCTATGTCTGTTACTTATATTTAAAAATAAACTGAGTATTTTGTTTTTACTTAGTGAACACCACAAGACGCCCCTAAATCGAAATAAAATATTGGAACAAATCTCACCAGACATAAATATTTGAAATTAAAAAAACCCAGCTTTCGGTAGCTGCTGTCTCTCGGTAATACTTCCTGACTTAATATATTACTTTGGCAGAGAATGACACGTCGGACTTTTTAAATTTTAATTTTTGTGCTTGCGAGTAAAGAAGTAGACTTACTGTCACCGCAGATTACATCCTCGAAGTAACGTGGTGAACAAATACGGCTGTAGTAGTCCTCTCCAGCTTGGTAGTAACCATAGAAGGTGTCGAAGCCTCGCAGGGTCGGGGTGTACTGCCACGAGCAGAAACCAAGATGCCACCTGGAATCCAGCAACATGTGTATTACTTTTGTCTAGTCTATGTATATGTAGGAAGATTAAATGTACTCTTCAATGATTAGAACATACGAAAGAAGGTGGCCCGAGGCCTGGTGCCAAAAGTTCTCGCTTCACACGGTGAGGGTCCGGGTTCGATTCCCGGAGAGGGTAGAAACATTAGGAGTGTTTCCATATACGGTTGTCTATGCTCACCTATCAGTAAAATGGTTACCTGGGTGTTAGTCGACTGGCATGGTCGCATCCCGGGACAAAATTGACCTAATTTCCGGGAAATGCTCTGCATAACAAGAGGCTTTCTATATAGTAGTATGTCATTGATGTCAAGTATGGTCTGTATACCTTGTACATGTACTTGTAGAAATAAAGATATTATTATTATTATTATTATTATTATTATTATTATTATTATTATTATTATTATTATTATTATTATTATTATTATTATTATTATTATTATTAAGGAGCACTGCAGCAGGCCTACTGGCCCATGCAAGTCAGGTCCATCTCACACCCATCCACATTTACTCATGTATTTATCTAAACTATTTTTAATACTATGTAATGTTTTAGCTTCAGTGACGGTACTCGGGTGTTTTAAACACTCATCCACAACCCTATTACCAAACTAATGCTTTCTTATACCTGTTAAGAATCTAAGTTTTACAAACTTGAATCCATTGCTGCGAGTCTTGTCTTCGTTAGATAATTTTAGCACAAACCATACCACGGGTGGGGTTTGATCCCGCTGGTCCAGTGGCTAACGCGACGGTCTGGAGTTTTGAGTCTCTCTGACCGCAGGATCAAACCCAACCCGTGGTATGGTTTGTTTGCAATCGTGTCATTACGATTTCGTGAGTCAATTTTAGAACGTTACATTCCCTTTATTTATTCCTGTTTTCTATTTATACATCACAGTCATATTCCTGTTTTCCATTTATACACCTCACTCATATCCCCCCATAATTCTACGCCTTTCTAGAGAGTGCAGATTCTGGCCTCAGTCTTTCCCCATAGGGAAGATATCTGATACATGGGATCAATTTTGTCATTTTACCGTGTACTTTTTCATGAACATTTATATCCGTTCTGTAATACGGCGCCCAGAACTGCGCAGCATAATCTAAATGAGGCCTTAACAGAGATAAATAGAGTTGAAGAATAACCTGCGGACTCCTGTTAATTATACTTCTTGATATGAAGCCAACAATTCTACTTGCTTTATACCGAATACTTACTCACTGTAGTCTCAGCCTTAGATTACTGCTAACCACAACTCCCAAATCTTTTTCGCAATCATAGATATTAAGATCTACATTATTTAGTTTATGAGTGTCATGGTTATTTACTTTTCCAACCCTTAGAACTTTGCATTTGTCTATGTTAAGCTGCATCTGCCACTTCACCGACCACTGCACCAGTCTATTCAGATCTTGGAGCATTCTAGTGTCCTCGTCAGAATGAATTCGACTGCCTATTTTGGTGTCATCGGCAAACTTACTTTATGTCGCTGTTTATACTCTCATCTATATCGTTCATGTAAATTGTGACCAACAAAGGGCTCAAATCCCTGTGGACATTACTTGTGATGAGTCCCCACTCGTCACAAACTTTCTGTTGCCTATCTGTTCGCCACACCTCTATCAAGGAAAAAAATTCTCTTATTCCGTGTACCTCTACTTTCCTCAATAGTCTCCGATGTGGAATTCTGTCAAAAGCCTTACTGAAGTTCATACACACAATATCATATTCATTACCATGATCTACCTCCTCAAATACCTTAGTGAAGTAAGTTAATAAATTCGTAAGACAGGAAAGCTCCTTAGTTAAACCATGCTGAGATTCATTATGTCTTTCAAGATGGCTACAAATTGCCTCGGCAATTAAAGATTCCATCAATTTATTGGGCTGTAGTTTGAAGGTAAGGACTTGTCTCCTTAGTAGACAGGCATCACATTTTCCATTTTCCACTTATTTGGCACTGTACCAGTTTGCAGAGATATGTTGAAAAGACTAGCCAAAGGTTTACTAAGTTCCACCTTAAATTCCTTTATAACCCTTGTGAAAAGTTCATCAGGGCCTGGGGATCTATTAGGTTTTAATTTGTCTATTTGTCTGAGAATCCTGTCACAAGTGACTTGGTTCGTGCATAACTTATTATCGTTCAGTTCAACGGAGTTTATTATTTCTGGAATTTCACTAGTTTTTTCTTGCATAAAACCTGAAAAAAAATAATTATTAAAAATTCTTCACATTTCCTTATCACTGTCGAACTAAAAAATTACACCTAAGCACGAAACCAGAAGACCACACTGCTGTAGGACTCAGTAAATGAGACTGAAGCACGAACCAGACAAAATTGATGTACGAACCAAGAAACACTAACTCACGAAACTATGCTAACAAACAAATAGAAGAACAATGAGGCATTTGCCAGATAAAATTAACTCTCACACGTAAACCAGACAACACTGGTAAATGGACCATAAACCGCACTAACTCACGAACTGGAAGACAACCTCACGAACCAGATAACACACAAGCAGAACCGAAACAACGAAGACATATGAACCAGAACACAAGACTGAAGCACAAACTGGTTAACACTGATTCTGTAGCCAAACAAAGTTGACACAACACTGATACATGAACCAGACAACACTAATACATGAACCAGACAACACTGATACACAAACCAGACAACACTGATACACAAACCAGACAACACTGATACACAAACCAGACAACACTGACACGAACCAGACAACACTGACACGAACCAGACAAAAATGACACGAACCAGACAAAAATGACACGAAACAGACAAAAATGACACGAACCAGACAACTACACTGACTTATAAACTAGAAGACAACATTTATGCACCAAGAAGAAAAAAGACATTCAGATGCACGAACTAGATCACTCAGATGCACTAACTGGAAGACCCACACTCACGTACGACCCAGAAGATCACAAGCACATTATGATGTCACAGTTACTGAGATACTAACTTGCCGACGATGTGTGTGGAGTAACCGGCCGACTTCAGAGACTGTGGCAGTATGGTGAGATCCAGGTCCAGCCCTGAAGGCGACAGTGGCCAGATTACCAGATGCTGTGGAAGAAACTTTTTCTTATAACATTCTACGATTTGTTAGATCCACTGACTGGTACAGTATACGTTTCCGTGTTACTTAAGTGTACATATGTACTAACCTACTGGTACCCAGTTTGTAGTTTCAGGGGTCGAGTCTCAGCTCTTGAGCCCTTCCCCTCAAGTGGCCACTACAGGGTACAATCCTTTCATCATGAACCCCTGTCTTTAATCTGGGGATGGATCCTACCTCCACCACTTTGAACTTTTGAACTAGTATATGTTCCTGTTCACCCTGTCAGTACAATTCAGTATTTAGTTACCATGTCACCCCGGTTCTGTCCTCTAGTGTCATCAAGTTTAGCTCATTTAGTTTTTTCTCAAAGTTTCTCTTCAGCTTCAGGAGAAATTTTCGTTCCAAACCTCTTCACATTTTGCACTTTCATGACAAGCTTGATCTGGTGTGGATTCCATGCTGCTGCAGCGTACTCCTGTATGGGTCTTACATATGTTGTGTAGTGAATTATTCCTCGTTAAGATTCCTGAAGGCTAAGCTTAGGTTCCTCAGATGCCCATTTGTTATTCAAGTGTGTGGTTCAGGCAGTGTGCTCGGTGCTAGCCTCAACCCGATGTCCTCCTCCTTGAGGTGTTTATCCCACAAGATTATGCGACGTTTCTGTTATTTTTTGTCTGCATCTTATGTATACTTTTGATATACCTTTGATGATTATCTAGAGTCTCACTACTATTGAAGCCCGGCTATGGGCAAGGCTCGTCTGGTGCTTGCCTGCTGAACCAGGCTGCTGCTGCTGGAGACCCGCTGTCTTACATATATGTTACAGCCTGGTTGATCTGGCATCTGGTGAAGATACTTGTCCAGTTTTCTCTTGAAGACTTCTACACTTGTCCCAGCTATGTTTCTGATATCTTCTGGTAAGATGTTGAACAGTATGGGGCCACGAATAGAGTGTTCCCTTATCGTACCCATTCTACCCTTGCTCCTCACTGGGTTTATTTTGCACTTCCTCTCACATCTCTCACTCCGGTACGTTTATATGGCAGTGTGCAGATTTAGGACCAGACCCTCGGGAACTTTCCAGGAATATATTATGTATATCTCTCTCTTCTGCTCTAGTGAATACATGTTCAAAACTTTAAGGCATTCCCAGCAATTTAAGTGCTTTACTGGCTCAATGTGTGCAATAAATGTTCCAGCTCTGATATTTCTCTTGCTTTTAAATAACACATACAGAGTCTCTTCGGATAGAATTTTCAGAGCGGCATGAAAAATTGATTTTAGGTGTGATATACCGTCCCCGAAACTTAGATAGGGACCAAGGGAGACTACTATGGGAGGAAAATGTTAAGGCCAAAAGGCACGATAATGTAGTAATTCTAGGGAACTTCAGCTTTAGTCATATTGATTGGAATTTCTTGACTGGGAATTTAGAGTCTAACGATTTCTTAGAAGTAGTTCAGGATTGTTTTTTGAAGCAGCTTGTGACAGAACTTACAAGGGGAAATAACCTGGTTGATTTGGTTCTGGCAAACAAGGAAACCCTTGTTAATAATTTAGAAATTACAGAGGAATTCGGCGCAAGCGGTCATAAATCAATTACCTTTAGCATTGAATGGAAGTATGATAGTAGGGATAACTCAGTAACAGTCCCAGATTTTCGCTTAGCAGATTACGATGGGCTTAGAGAACACTTATCATCTGTTGACTGGGGTAACGAAGAGAGCTATCAATATGACAGTTTTCTGAACACTATACATACTGCCCGAAGAACATTTATCCCGTATAAAGAAATTAGATCGAATAGAAATGACCCAAAATGGATGAATAATAGGCTCAAATATCTTTTAGAGCAGAAGAATGGCATTTATAGGCATATCAAAAGAGGCGAGGGTCATCTTATGAATCAGTATATTGACATTAAGAGGGATGTTAAAAAGGGGATAAGAAAAGCTAAACGTGACTATGAAATTAAAGTTGCTAAGGATTCTAAAACTAACCCAAAGAGTTTTTTCCAGGTCTGTAGAACAAAAGTTAGAGATAAGATAGGTCCCCTTAAAAATAACTATGGGCATCTTACTGACAAGGAGAATGAAATGTGCTCGATTTTTAATTATTATTTTCTCTCGTTTTTTCCCAGGAAGACCCTAATAATATCCCAATAATTAGGTTTTTCAGTGGGCCTGAAGAAGATAAATTATGTAATATCACAGTCACTAGTGAAATAGTTATCAAACTGATAGACCGTTTGAAGCATTATAAATAAGTCACCGGGTCCTGATGAGGTTTTTTCAAGGGTTCTTAAGGAATGCAAAATGGAACTCTGTGAACCATTAACTAATATTTTTAATTTATCTCTTCAAACAGGTGTAGTGTCTAATATGTGGAAGATGGCTAATGTAATTCCTATTTTTAAAACAGGGGACAAGTCGTTACCGTCAAATTACCGCCCAATAAGCCTGACCTCAATTGTAGGCAAATTACTAGAGTCAATTATAGCTGATAGCATAAGAAGCCATCTCGATAGGCAGAATTTGATTAATGTTACTTAATATGGTTTCATCAGGGGCCGTTCCTGCCTAACTAATCTATTAACCTTCTTTAGTAAAGCTTTTGTGGCCGTTGATCATGATAAAGAATTCGATATTGTTTATTTAGATTTTAGTAAGGCTTTTGATAGAGTACCACATCAGAGACTGTTGAAGAAAGTGGCTGCTCATGGCATTGGGGGAAAAATGCTGTCATGGGCCGAGTCATGGCTCACTAATAGGAAGCAGAGAGTGTGCATAAATGGGGTTAAATCTAAGTGGGGGATCTGTAATAAGTGGTGTTCCGCAGGGATCAGTTTTAGGTCCATTGTTGTTTATAATATATATAAATGACCTTGACAAGGGAATTACTAGTGACGTAAGCAAATTTGCTGATGACACGGAAATAGGTAGGATAATCGATTCAGACGTTGATGTCTCGGAACTTCAGGAGGATTTAGACAAACTCAGTTCGTGGTCAGAAAAGTGGCAGATGCAGTTCATTGCAGATAAATGTAAAGTTCTAAAGCTCGGAAATGTCCATAACCCTAGCACCTACCAGCTTAATAATGTTGAACTTAGCCGTATAGAATGCGAAAAAGATTTGGGGGATATGGTAAGCAGCAACCTTAAACCAAGTTAAACCAAGACAGCAATGCGTAATAAGGAAAATAGATTACTGGGATTTATATCAAGAAGTGTAAGCAACAGAAGTCCAGAGGTCATACTGCAGCTTTATACATCATTAGTAAGGCCTCACCTAGATTATGCAGCTCAGTTCTGGTCTCCATATTACAGAATGGACATAAATTCGTTAGAAAACATTCAGCGACGAATGACAAAATTAATTCATTACATTAGAAATCTTCCTTATGAAGAAAGATTGAAGACTCTTAAATTACATTCACTTGTTAGACGAAGAATGAGGGGAGACATGATCGAAGTGTATAAGTGGAAGATAGGTATTAATAAAGGTGATATTAATAAGGTCTTGAGGATGTCTCTCCAAGAGAGAACCCGCAATAATGGATTCAAATTAGACAAGTTTAGATTTAGAAAGGATATAGGAAAGTATTGGTTTGGAAATAGGGTAGTTGATGAGTGGAACAGTCTACCTAGTTGGGTTATTATTGAGGCTAAGACCTTGGATAGTTTCAAATTTAGGTTGGATAACTACATGAGTGAGAAGGGTTTGATTTGAGTGGGACTTGCACTTGAGTTAATAGAATTATCAAAGCTTGTTCCTTGAGTAGAACTGAAAATTGAGTTGGGCAAATATTCTGTTAGTGGGATGGATTGTGAAGGACTTGCCTAGTATGGGCCAACAGGCCTGCTGCAGTGCTACTCCTTTCTTATGTTCTTATGTTCTCACGTTTTAACAGGGCCATCAACACCGAGCAATATGCCAAATGAGGGATCAGTAGCGATCTGAATATTGTCATCACTGGCATATTTCCCTTGTTTTGAAGGTTCTCAATACCTTCCTGGCCCTCACGATCTTTGTCTTATTATGTTTTTTTTTTAAATAAAGGTTGGGTCTTCTATGTGTTCCCAAGTTCTCCTATATGGTGATCATGATATAGTTTTGGGTGATGTTGTGTTGGGTTTCTGGTAATCATGTCTTTTTTAAGGCTCATGATATAGCTTTGGATGTTCTTGTAATAGATTTTGGTGTTCATGTCTTAGGTTATGGTGTTCATGTCTTAGATACTGGTGGTTCTGCATTTAGTGTTCATGTCATATCTTAGTTTTTGGCAATATTGGTGATTATGTCTTAGGTTTTTGTGTTAATGTACGAGTTTTATGTGCTTGTGTTATTTTATTGTTCATGTTTTGTCTCAGGTTTTGTTTCGTGCTTTTTTTTGTGGTCATGTCTTTAGTTTTTTTGGCAGTTTTGCGTTTTTTTTTTGTGTTCACATCTTAGTTTTGGTGGTCATGTCTTAGGTATTGGTGGTTATGTCTTAGGTATTGGTGGTCATGTCTTAGGTATTGGTGGTCATGTCTTAGGTATTGGTGGTCATGTCTTAGGTATTGGTGGTTATGTCTTAGGTATTGGTGGTCATGTCTTAGGTATTGGTGGTTATGTCTTAGGTATTGGTGGTCATGTCTTAGTTATTGGTGGTCATGTCTTAGGTATTGGTGGTCATGTCTTAGGTATTGGTGGTCATGTCTTAGGTATTGGTGGTCATGTCTTAGGTATTGGTGGTCATGTCTTAGTTATTGGTGGTCATGTCTTAGGTATTGGTGGTCATGTCTTAGGTATTGGTGGTCATGTCTTAGTTATTGGTGGTCATGTCTTAGGTATTGGTGGTCATGTCTTAGGTATTGGTGGTCATGTCTTAGGTATTGGCGGTCATGTCTTAGGTATTGGTGGTCATGTCTTAGGTATTGGCGATGTCTTAGGTATTGGTGGTCATGTCTTAGGTATTAATGGTCATGTCTTAGGTATTGGTGGTCATGTCTCAGGTATTGGTGATCAT